CTTACACCCGGCAGCTGTCTGCCCATTGTAACAGAGAAGCACCCCACTGAACACACCTGCAGCATACACAATTCCCCTGCACAGAACGCCCCACAAAGTGATCTGTGATACAGAAGAGGAGGTGGTAAGCATAGGGTCAGCCAGGGAATCTAACTGGACACTCAGTGGACAAGCCCCAAGTGAGGATGGTAGGAATGTCCCTCACAGAGCAGTCATGAAACTGTGTGGACCACAGTGTTGGCATACACAGCAAGATGACCACCTCACTGGCAGGGCAAATCCTGCCAATTATAGGGTGTCCAAGCAGCCACATCCTTCTACTGAAAACATGCAACTGGTGATTGGTGATTTCCATTTAGAAGTCCTAGTGCTGGTCTGAGAATGTCCCCTCCACCAGCGGGGAAGCCCATCCCATGCGTTCAGCCCTATTACTTTCCCCAGGGAAGGCATTCATAGTCCTCAGCTCTAGGGGCAAGGAGACAAATATTTGCTGGAAGATGATTCACTCTGCCTGGCCACTGGAGGGCCTGCGGAGCACTGTGGTCAAGGAGGGCTTCCGGGTAGCCTTGCTGGTATAGATTCCGACCTGCCACTGACCATGAGCCCCTCAGGTCCCCAGGGGATGGAGATGATGGCTCACCCTGGGCCAGCCAGAAGGTTCCCTGGAGGGGCCGCTAATCTGCTATCATGGTGGATGCTACTCCCCCCAACAGAGAAGCCCACGGTAGGGCCTGGGGTCCATGAACACTGAGTTATCATCCCCCAGCCCCATCCACTCCGGGCAGTGGGCTCATCCCTCTGTGGGGCAGACAGTGCAGGTGGCCTGTAGGGAGGTCAACAGGCGGCACAAGATGAGGAGGAGAGCACATGGGAGAGGGCCACTTCCTGAGCTCGAGGTGGGAGGCAGAGGGAGCCAGTGGTGGGAACCCAGCAGAGGGGGCAGGAGACCCTCACAAGGACAGCGTTCTCCGACACTTGGCTTTTAAATGGCTCATTGTGTAGGTCTGGGATGCAAATCTCACACAATTTTGCCACAGAGGTCACTGAAGTCTGGCTTCGACATGACTCCCTGCTGGGGCTGGGGGCATGGTGGGCAGGCCAGGCAGCAGGACGCCAGTGCTCAAGAGCTGGCATGCACTGGAGCCCCGGGTGAGACCCCCATCTCTGGCCTTGGGTGTAGCCCTTGTGGGACCCAGGTGGCCTGGACTCCTGACCATGGATAAGCAGTGTCTAAGTTTGTGGTAACTCATGACGCAGCAACTGGTAACTAATTCTTGAGGGGAATCAAGGGAAAGAGCCGAACTCTACATCCACTGATGCAAAATCCACTTCGTGCAAGGAGAGAGGAAACGGCTGGGCAAGTGCGTACACTGCCCTCATCCCCAGATTCACAGTGGTGTGATGGATTAGGGCAGAGCTTTGGGGTGACGAGCTGTGGGGTGGGGCCCTCCTGATAGGATCAGAGCCCTTATAAAAGAGACTCCAGAGTGCCCCCCCCTCAACCTTCAGCCAAGAGGACACAGTAAGAACACAGCACCTGTGAGCCGGGACGCTGGCCTCACCAGACACAGAATTCCTGGCACCTGGGCCCTCCAGCCCCAGACTGAAAGGTACTTGTGTGTGCTGTTTATAAGCCTCCCAGTCTATGGTATTTTCATTTTAACAGCTCAAAAAGAGTAAGACAGAAGGAAGCATGAAATATTCAGCAATGCCATACATGAAAATACATGAAAATAAAAGATTCAAAATATCATGAGTCTGGCATATGAATGACAGACACGAAGGGATTAGAATAGAGTCCAGAAATAAACCCAAACATTTACAGGAATTTTGTGCATGACAAAGATGGCATTGTATATCAGTGGGAAAAATAATAATTCAATAATTAGTGTGGAGAACTAAAAAGCCAACTGGGCAAAAATTAAGTTTGGTCCCTATGTCACTCTATAAATTTCAGATGGTATCAAGGATTTAAATGTAAAAATTAATACTATAAAAGTAACAGAAGGGAAATTGGGAAGATGTTTTACACTCTTGAGGCAGAAGAGGCGTTTTAAAGCATAATACAAAATCCAGGAGCCATCATTGTAAAAGTAGGTATATTCAAATACATAAAAATGAAAATTTTTTGCATAAAAAAACAGATTAAAAGGAAAAACAAAACAATAACATTTATAATACGTATCACAAAGAGCTAATTTCCTTAGCATGACAATACCCAACTTCACTCCAAATATATGAACATGCAAACTAAAACTATACAAAGATACTATTTTTTACCTATTGGATTAGCAAAACTCCCAGTCTGATAGTTTTATAAGAGTGTGGGAAGTAGGTGCTCTCATAGTGTTGGTGGGAATGTACATTTATATAGCCTTATAGACGCCCATTTGGAAAAACTATCAAAAATTTAAATGCATATGTTATCTATTCTAGCCATTCACTTGCTAGATTTATCAATAATTTGACAAAAAATTTATCAGTGACTATCCTTAATTCATGCATTTTTGTGCACATGGGCAAATATATCTGTGCATCTGTATACTTTCCCAAGGGCACAAAAAATAACAAAGGATTGGAAAGAAAAAACTAAATATCCATCAATAGGGGTCTGATGAAATATATCATGGCACATCCAAATAATGGAATATTATGTGGCTGTTAAAAAGGACATGGCAGCTCTGTGTGAACTACCCTTACCTGATCTCTAGGGTATGCTCATATGTGGAAAAATAGAAACAACGAATGTTATGAAGCTTTGTGTCATATGCTACCATTTAAGAGGTGAACTAACATTGTATGTGTTTACTCAGGCATAGTGTATCTCCAGAAAGACACTCAAGACAGTAATGATACAAGCTGCCTCTGGGACGGGGAGCTGTGAGTATATGGGAGAAAGGAAGACTTGCTCTCTATGTGCTCTTGGGTACCTTCTGAGCTGCCTGCCACATGCCTACTTACCTATTCAATAATTATTTATTTTCTTTAAACATTTTAAATCTTCCTGTAAAAGATGAACTCTTTTCACTCTCTCCCAAGACCACACTAAAACCGCAACAAAGGGATTTTGTTATGAGAGGCACAAACCCTCAAAGGCAGGAAGAACTGGAGAAGACCCTAACAAAATTTTGGAAGTCTGCAATGGACAGGGGAGTAGTCACTGACTTATTGGAACCAAGAAAACTGAAGGTTGAACCGGTGGAGGGGAGCATCAGAGGAGCCTAGTTCACACCACGGAATCCTGCCAAGCCTCAGGGTGCTTTGCTAGCACACCTCACAGCAAGCGTAAGTATGGGGGCAGGAGAGTGGGCTTCACACCCCAGGGAACCCGCCCACATGGAGAGGAGCTGTGGCTCCCAGGACAGCCCAGGCCTTCCACAGGGCCATCATCATGGAGCAGATGGGTTGTTCCCAGTCCCACAGGGTCTGCTAACTTCATAAACACCATTTGAGGCCATTGAGTTTTGGGTGAATGGCTACCCCTTGTTACAGAACTGGAACCTACCTAGCGATCAACATGCCTCAAACCAGACATGATCTTGCCCTGCAGAGCTGGCCATCTGCCAGTGTTTCCAGTCTGTAAAGGCTATCATGGTAGGCCACCATTGCCATCTGTCCAACTGCCCGAGCTGGAAACCCGAGGGTCCGCCATGTCCCTGCGCTCACCCTGAATGGCTGTCAAGTTCTCTACAGAATGGCTCTCAGCTACACCTGTGGGTCTCTCTGCCTTCAGCCCTACCCATTTTTGCTCTGTTTTGGAGGTCTGTCACTTGGTACATACATATTTAGGACTGCTGCATCTTCTGGTCCATCTATCCTTTTAATGTTCTTTTTCTTTCTAGAAATTTCCCTCACTCTGAAGTCTACTTTGGCTAATACTAAGATAGCCAATCTGCTTTCTAAAAATTATGTTTACATGATCTTTTTCCATCCTTTCCCTTTCAATCTACCTGTTATGGTTTTTGGCGTCTCAGCACATACTAGACAACATATAGGTGGTGGGTTTTTTATTTACTCTGCTTATCTCTTCTTTAACGAGTGGTTTAAATGTAAACCAGTCACTTACATTTAATTATTGGCATATTAGGGTTCATGTCTGCCACTTTATCATTGGTATTTGTTTCGTTCCTTCTTGTACCTTGTTGGGGAACCTTGAACGGTTTTTAGACTTCTGCTTTATAATGTTTCCGAGTACATCACTATGCTTATTTTTGTTGGTGCTGCTCTAGACGCCACCGCATCATATGCAACCGGCCAGCTTGCTGGTACCGGTGCTGGACCACATCAAGGGAAGTGTAAAAACCTTACTTCCATTTATGCTCCTTCATGCTCCCCACTTTCAAATGTAATTACCATAAACGTTTCTTCCACATACAATGAGCACATTATAGTTACAATTTTTCTTCAACAATCAGGTATGATAAAGAAACTCACCAGGGGAAAAATGCTTGGTTATGTTTACTTCTGTTTTCCTTAACTCCCCCTAACTCCCATTATCTTTAACTTTGTTACAATTTTCTGCTTGGAGAGCTTCCTGTAACCAGGCACCAAGGGTAAGCCTGCTCGCGACAATTCTATTAGCCTACCTCTGTGAGAGGGTATCTTTATTCCTCCTCCCTTCCTGAGGACAGTCTTGCTGGCAGAGGATTCCCAGTTTAGGGTCTGAGGTCCCGGTTGTCAGGACGCCGGCAAGCGAACTTTGGAGACCCAACTCATCCCCCACTGTCCCACCAGGGGCCGCTCGCGCGGCTTCCTCGGCAGCTCCGCAGCCACCCTGTCCCCACCGGTTCAGCTGTTGAGTTACCTTCACAGGAACCTCCGCGGCACCCCACGTCCTCGGGGGCCTGCCTCCGACCTCGGCCCCATCGCTCCGCGCCCCGCCCCGAGCCCCGCCCCCGGCTTTCGCGCCCACTCCCTCCCCGGCCTGACCCCTGTTCCCGGCCGTGCGCTGTCTGCGCCCCCGAGCTGCCAATAAAGTTGTGTTCGGAGCCTACCGGAAGACGAGCCGTAATCCGCGCTGCGGCCGTCGCAAAAGTGCCAGTTTCCCCTAACGACCAGCAACGCGGGGAGGATGGCGGCGCTTGGGGCGAGGGAGGCCGCGGCGGCCCCGGGCTCGGCCGAGGCGGCGGAGGCAGCGGAGGCGGCGGAGCTAAGCCGCGCCGTGAGCCGCCTGCTGCCCGGGCTAGAGGCCGACAGCAAGCTGGGCCGGCGACGCGCGCTGGAGGCGCTGCAGCGCGCGCTAGAGGCGGCCGACTCAACGGCCGCTGCCTCCGCCTTCCAAGCTCCGTGGGCGCGCCTGCTCCTACCGCGCCTGCTGCGCTGCCTGGCCGATCCTGCCGAGGGCTGCCGCACGCTGGCCACGCACCTGCTAGGGCTGGGCCTGCGGCGCACAGCGCGCCCCCGCGAAGCCCTGCCGCGACTGCTGCCTGCGCTTGCCGCGCGCCTGGCCGGCCCCGAGCCCGGGCGCCGGCCGCCAGAGGTTTGCGAGGAGCTGCGCCTGGCGCTGGTGCAGCTGCTCGCCCTGGCTGTGCGCCTGTGCGGCGCCGCGCTTGCGCCGCACCTGGACGATGCGGTGCGCGCAGTGCGCTCCACGCTTCTGGACCCCTTCGCCGCCGTGCGCCGTGAGAGCTGCGAGTGCGCCGCAGAGCTGGCGCGCGCCACGCCAGGTGCCCGTGGGCCGGGCCGGGGCGGGCGAGGGTGGGGTGCTGCGCTGCCCCGAGCGGGGTGCCCTCCGTGGCCTCCGCAGCAACCGCCGCCCTTCTCCATCCGGTGGTTCTCAGGAAGCAGATTCGTGGTTTAACTACTGTTCAAGTTGCTTTTAAGCTGACCTGCGATGGGGAGCGTTCTTATCGATAGTTCAGCACCTCGCCGGGGTGACTAATCCGGGTGGTTAGGCGAACACACTTTGAGAAACACGCTGCTCTGTTTGGCTTCTTTTCATTCACATTTCTGTAGGGAGGCGTCCTGTATTCTCTGGCTTGGACTGCTGTCCCACTTAATGGAGGGAGGCCTCCTCTTCCCTGCTTTCCTATAATCCAATCTACATTATTTTAAAAACTGATCTCATCAGGACATTTCTCTTTTCCTGAGTAGCCATTTCTGCAGAAACTTGCCCCAGTTACTTCTCCTTTGCTATCTGTATGGAATGGTAGGAAGCACCTACTTATTTATTCCTGTTGAGAGGGCTTCTGGGAGGAGGGGACATTTAACCTGAAGATTGGTGACTGGTGGCCAAGAGGAAGCCAGCTTTGGGAAGTAAGGTTGGCAGATCTGAAGGGCAAAGAGGAGGCCAAAGTGGCTGGAGGGAATGAAGGGCTCGGGAGTAGTGGTAAGGCCCCTTCGGGTTACAGTGGGGCCAGTGGAGGGCGTTGGGAAGGGGCATTATAGGCTCAAATTCTGGGTTTAAAAGATCACTTTGGTGCTGTGGAGAATGGATTATGGAGGTGGCTAGAGAGAAACAGGGCCAGTTGGGGGCCATAGCCAATCCATGTTAAGATGGTGCTGGCTGGTACTTGGAAGGGCAGTCTGGTAATAGAGATGGAGGACAATGTTGGTGTGTCCTGAAGTCAGAGCTGACAGGGTTTCCTGCTAAATTGGATGAGGGATGAGGTTTGGGTGGGCAGGAGTCAAAGAATGGGTTGAAGGGGATGTTGAGGTTTCCATTTGGGGCGTGTTGTATTTGGATCCAAATGGTGCAAAATTCTAGTGGATGTGGCTTGGGCTGGAGATGGCCACTGGGCATTACAAGCTCTGCACTTCTCATCACTCTGGACCCCTCTCTCCTGGTCTGCGCATCACCAGGAGGCACTGCTTCTCGTGCCTTCCCACCTTTGCCCTCGCCGGATTGTAAGTTCTGGAGAGCAGGACCAGGCACACTATACCCACATCATGTAGCAGGTGCTCACTGGAGTGGAGCATCTCTCCATCTCCGCACTGCCCCCTCTACTGCACCCACTCCCAGGTGAGGGGCTTCGCCTCTAGACCACCATCACACTGGGCAGTAGCAGATCAAGATCCTGCTTTGATCTGAGACCTCCAGTTAAAGAACGTGCCCAGGGTGTTGCTCAAGTAGCCATCTCTCTGGTGGATCTCGAGCAGCTGCAGAACTGAGGTCAGAACTCCAAAACCAGAGGGTCGGCACGGCTATCACAAAGATGTTTTCTGCTTGTGACTTTCTCTGAGAACCTCACAGATAGGAAGTGGAGTGACTTTCCTTGAAGCAGTGCAGGTCCAGCCTCCTGCAGCAGTGCTGGCATCTGGCACAGCTGGCGTGGGAGTGTGTGCACCAGGCTCTGGGCTCGGCTGGCAGCTGCTGGCCGCTTGGGGCTCTCCTGACAGCCTTAGCTGAGGCGGGGCAAGTCCCAGCCTTTTCCCTTTGGCCCTCTTCAGGCCCAGTCACAGGGTGCCTGTTCAGGTCACACGCCTGTCCTGCACCTCTCTGGGTGCCAGGGGTACGAGGCAGTGCTTGCAGGCCTGAACCACATGCTGTGCCTGCAGCAGAGACCACAGTGGAGTGAGGAGGGAAATTCAGGCACAGGGACCACAGGTAGCAGCATGATAACTGAGGTCCCCGTCCCACAGGCCATTTCCACATGCAGGCGGAGTCCTTGATCAGCCCCCTGATGCAGACCCTCTCCCACCAGCACTGGAAGGTGCGGGTGGCTGCCATCGAGGCCACGGGCACAGTGATCCAGTTCGGCAATGGGAAGTCAGTGGACGAGGTGCTGCCTCACTTTGCTCAGAGGCTCTTTGACAACGTCCCCCAGGTAACGGACTTCCTTCTGGCTCCTCCTCCCAAGCCCTGTGCCCTTGGTAACTCACTCCTTTTCTCTGGTTTTACAAACATGACACGCTGCACCAAACATCCTTTCCTCTCTCCCAGTCACAGGTGTGCATGGTTCTCATCTTTGAGAAACCCCAGGAGAGCTGAATTTAACATGTTTGTTATTCTTAATTCCAAGGATATGAAAGAGGACAGTTTCCCTTTAGGAGAAAAATCTAAAGGGTGTGTGCTCCCCAGTTTCCAGAAGCATCTCTGATGTGCCCCAATGATGCAGGTTAATTGAGAGTCACAGTGGTTGGCAAACCAGATCTGGGGGAAGTGTGCAGCTGGGTTGGTGCGTTGAGGGAATTGGCTCTGTCAGGCTTTAGAACCCCCTGAGAGACAGACACACACATGCAGACCAGAACCCCAACTTTTTACTAGGAGAAGCCAGCTCAGAGGGCATGCTGTGGGTGTACAGTTGACTGATAAAACTTCAAAACCCTGACCCCTGGAGAGGGGCAGAGCAGAGGTCTCAGTGGGCAGGCCCACCTTTGCAGGAGGAGAGTGATGGAGGGGCGTGGGCTCCAGTCACATAGGAGAGATGGGTCATGCTTGACATCCTCCAGAATGGTTAGATGTCCCTGCCTCTGCCACCTCTGGCCATTTCACAGCCGGGTCATAGGGTAACTGAGGAGCCAGCAGACTTTCCTGCAGAAGCTGCACCATTTACGTTCCTGCCAGCAGTGTGTGAGGGCCCCAGCCTCGACATTCTCATGACACTTACTGTCTGGCTATGCTTGTTTATAGCCCTTCTAATGGAGTGAGCTGGTCTCAGTGTAGTTTTGATTTGCTTTTCCTGATGACTTCGTGTTGAGCTTCTTTCCTTGTGCTTGTTGTCAGGTCGTCTATTTCATATGCATGACATTCCACTCATGTGACTCATGACGTGGTTTTGCTCTGTTACCATGCATGCACTAACAGACTGAAGGTGTCAGGGTTGCTGTTCCAGTTTTACAGAGATGTTAAAGGTTCTTTTCACTTATGGTGCAAATGATAAGAGTGTTTCCCTCCCAACATTTGTCTGAGGAAGCAGGGGAGTTAGAGGGAGGGGACTTGGCTCTGCCTGCACCATGTGCCTCTGGGCAGGAGGCAGGCCCCCTGGCATGAACTGTCCTGTCTCACACGGCCAGCTGAGGTGCAGTGCGCATATCCTCCATGGGCCCCTCCTGGAGCTGGCAGACCCCAGCAGAATCAGGCCCTGCCAGGCAAGGAGGAGGGGCAGGGCAGGGCCGGCCCCAGGGGAAGGAGGGGCTTTGCTCTGGCCAGGACAGCATATCAGCCTCCTGGAGCTTGAGGCCACTCAGGGCCAACGTGGAAAGCACCTTCCATGTGTCACAGACCAAGTGGTCTTCCTCAAGATATTGGAACAGCCGTGTGGGACAGCCGTCACTGTGCACCATGCTGCATGCCCATCCGCGTGACCATGTGGCTGGCTCCCTGTAAATACTCCGCTGCGTCTGCAGCTCTGCAGACAGCTCACTGCAGAAGCCAAGGCCACGCTGCTGGTTTGAGAACCTGGGTGCTGGGCCCCTGGCGGCTGTGTTCCCACCTGGAGTGAGGAAGTCAGCAGACAGCCACCTCCTCTTTGGTGCCTTGAAGAGCGGAGTCTGTGGCTTATTGGTGACAGAATTTTGTGAAACTTCTGTCCATGACTCTTATTCTTATTTAATATTCCAAAAACAAATGTTCTCCATTATTATTTTCATTTTAATTTCTTCCCAGTGGGATTTGGTTTGCTCCATATGGTTTTCTGGGCTGACTGAGGGGATTTCAAATCCAGCTCAGCAGTCGCCTGCCAGCTTTCACACTGACCGGGGTCATGTTAATGGGATGACCTCAGAGTCTCTGATGTGCGTTGGGGTGCAGCCTCCATACTGCCCTCATGTTTGTGTCAGGCCTGCGCTCACGTTGATGTTTCTGAGGGCTCTAACAGTGCTGAGCGGCTGGCAGACCCATGTTCTCTGGGACAGCCCAGGCCATGGGGGGTCCCCCCCATGCTTTGTGCAGAAAGTGAAATCCTTGCTGCCATGTGACTTTCAGAAAATTGAGCAGCTGCTCAGGTCATGAACCACATGGCAAGGGCCTGTCTTCAAGAAAGAACTTGCTCTAAGTGGCGCCCCTGAATGGACTGGTTTGGCCCCTGCCACAACCCCATGAAGAGGGGGTATAATGATCTCACCTTACAAATTTACAAATGAAGCAGGGAGGGCCCCGAATTCTCCCTTTGCAGTTTGTCACCTCACGTCCCCAGTCCTGGGAACGTGGAAAGGGGGTGTGGCCCAGAAAGGCCGTCCCATCCTACTGTGCGTACATCCAAGTAAAGAGCATCGGGCTCAGGTTACAGGCTCAGGTCTGAGCAACCATAAGCACCCTGGAGCCCTCTGGCCCCAGGGATCCCTTCCCTTCAGGAGCCCCTCTGCCAGTGCTGCTCAAACTGCAGGTGATGACGGCTCAGCCAGAAGACAGGACTGTGTGTGTTTCGTGTGGTTTGTTTCTGAAGCTCCTAGGGTGCCAGGCTTGGCAAGTGGGAGCTCGGTAGCCCACCTACCCTCTGCCATCACCCTGGTGAGCATAAAAGTGAGTAGGTCCTGCCTCAGTCTTGGGAGAGACGTGGTCTGATGCACTGCAAAAACCTTGCTGGTGTCAGGGATGATGGGGATAGCAGGGTGCAGGGCTGGGCGGAAGGTGAACTTGACGCTCTGAATGAGGAGGAGCCTTAGGTGAGAGGAGGGTATCCCATCACTCCAGCCACTCGAAGGCATCCAGGGTGCAGATATTGGAAAACCAGGACTCCTGTTGGTGGGGTCTTGCCTGTGTGACCCTGAACAGGCCGAGTCCTTGGTTCCTCAGAGCACCTTACTTACCAGCGGAAGCAGTCGCTGTCGGGAGGGGGCAGTCTCTGGGTGGTCACTTTGTTGGGGCAGGGGATTTCAACAATCAGCAGAGTAGAGTGCCCCCTCACCTGCCCACCCCCCAATATCAGACTGGAAAGGAACGAACTGCAGGAATTCAGTGGGTATTCATACCCACAACAGAATTAATATTATGCTAACATTTTCTCAGGTTACAAAACAAAAATATTACAGACTGAGGTGAAGCCCCTTTAAAGCTAACTCTTTTTTTTTTTAATTAATTTTATTTTGGTATTATTAATCTACAATTACATGAAGGACATTATGTTTACTAGGCTCCCCCTTTCACCAAGTTCCCCCCACATACCCGTTCACAGTCAATCACTACTTGTCTTCTCTGTGTTGCACAGCCCTCCCGGTGCCCCCCCCACCCACTATACATGCTAATCGTAATGCCCCCTTTCTTTTTTCCCACCCTTATCCCTCCCTTCCCACCCGTCCTCCCCAGTCCCTTTCCCTTTGGTAACTGTTAGTCCATTCTTGGGTTCTGTGCTTCTGCTGCTGTTTTGTTCCTTCAGTTTTCTTTTGTTCTTATACTCCACATATGAGTGAAATCATTTGGTACTTGTCTTTCTCCACCTGGCTTACTTCACTGAGCATAATACCCTCTAGCTCCATCCATGTTGTTGCAAATGGTAGGATCTGTTTTTTCTTATAGCTGAGTAATATCCCATTGTGTATATGTACCACATCTTCTTTATCCATTCATCTACTGATGGACATTTAGGTTGCTTCCATATCTTGGCTATTGTAAATAGTGCAGCGATAAACATAGGGGTGCATCTGTTTTTTTCAAACTGGAGTGCTGCATTCAAAGCTAACTCTTCTTTAAATGAATTTGAATACTCTATGTCTCAAACAAAATTTGCTGTTATTAAAATATCTTGATGCCATTAGAGATTTCTTTTGTTTTCAAGAGGTGAACATACTTAAAATGAGGTAAGAGGCTTAAAATTCAAAGCCTCTGGTCAGCATGGATGGACAGAGTGAAGGCTGTTGAAAATACTCTGCATGAGACAGTTACTCAGGTGCTGGGCAGGAGGATCTTCCCACCAGCCCCCAAAGCCCAGACTCGGGAAGCTCGGAGTAGCTTTGCAAGGCAGCTCTCCCATCAGGGCGCTGGCACTGCTCTGATTCTGGTGCCCCTGTACTGATGGGCAGCCTGGACTACATGTGGGGTCCCCAGCCCAGCACCCTAATGCAGGAGAATGACAATTCTCAGTCCACTTTGCTTCTTTTTATTGAAGTTTCCTGCTTAAGCTATTACTTGGCAACACTGTTAAGTGCCGTTTTTCTGAACTGAAAGAAACAAAGTAATTTGACTCGTGACAGCAGGAAGTTGCGGGTTTCTGACATGGCCAGCTCAAGGCTGCTGCAAGGCCCTCTAGCTCCCCCAGCTCAGCAGGTGGGATGCGTGGAGTCTACTCCGTGCAAGCGATGCCCAGTCTGGTGGCGGGTGGGGGGGGGGTGTTGGCAGGTGGCTGTCCTGGATGTGTGGCCCCTCAGGGAGTGGGGAGGGGCACAAGCCTTGTGGGCTTCCACATCAACGACTGCCTCTGCTGCGTCCAGAACCTCCTGGGGCCCAAGTGTTGCCCTGCACAGGCACTGCTCACTCTCAGGTTTAGGCAACCAGCCAGGTGCAGTTTGGGTTTTCAGCATGTGACCTTTGCCTGACAGCCTTTTGAGCCTTCAGCCGACAGTGTTGACCGAGCTTGGAGTTGGCCACTTGCCACAGGTGGTTTGTGATAAGCAAGGACCTGTCAGGGTGTGAGCTCTGAGGCCAGTCATCCTCCAGCCGTCCCTGAGCGTGAGGGCAGCCCATCCACTGTCCCAGTAGCAGCTGGTCTGAGGCCGATTGGGTTCCGGGAGCTTCCGCAGGGCACCCCGCTGTTGGGAGCATCTCTCCTCAGGTCCTCATGTTTTTTGGGTTGTTAACAGCCAGCCTGTGTCAGTAACTACCACCTCTGCTTTGTGCTCTAACTCTTCAGCAAGTGGCTCCTAGGCTTTCTGACCCCTCGTGGCCTGCCCTGTCTACACTGGCCGCCGGCATCCACACTGTGCTGCGGGCTTTCCTCCCTTGGGAAAGACAATGACACATGTCCTGTTCTCTCGCTTTCTGGAAGGGAAAATGAGCTTGGAGAGGAGACTTTGCCCCGGTTCCAGAGCAGCAGGGGCATGGCCACGTTGTCTCATGTTGCTGGAGCCTGTCCCCTGGCCTGCGTGCTGCTGCTCGGGCCCACAGCTGCTGGAGCGTGCCACCCAAAGTGCCTGTGGGCACCCCCATTGTTAGGCGCCCCTGTTAGCAGCCTCGCGAGTGACTGCAGGGCTTTGCAGGTGGCGGCCCTGGGTGGGACAGCGCTGTGGTACCAGGCACACCAGGGCTCCTGCAGGACGGGACGCCTGGCTCTGTACCTGCCCATCTGCTTCCTCCCGGGATCACTCAGAATGCGGAATCCTCTCTCAGCTCTGTGTTCAGGGTGGCAGCTCTGTTTGTGCTCGGTTCTTCTCCGCACTGGGTAAGGGGCTGTGGCATGCATGACACCTCTTCAGATCCAGCAGCAGCACTGGGGGTGCCCTGTTGACCCCCAGGTGTTCCTGGGGCTCAAGGGCCAGAGGCCTTGGCCATGTGGCCTCTGCAAGCAGCCATTTCCTAGCCACTAGTCAACAGCTTGTTTAAACGCCACGGTGACATGGCACCCAGCCCGGCCAGGAGGCCGCACACAGAAGACCACAAACAGGCCATGTTGTGTACCTGTGGGGCCTGCTCTAGCCCGCAGGGCACCAGGCCAGGCCCTGAGTTCACAGGCAGGAGCCAGCAAGGCCCATGGCTCTGATGCCGCCTCTCTGGCCCCAAGGGGCTACGGCAGAGCTGCCAAGCACCGACCCTGGCTCTGGGACCCCAGCCTCACGGTTCATCCAGCATCCACAGCGTCCCTGCTCAGCCTGAAGCCCTTTTCCTCTCTTGTGAGCAGGTCCGACGGGCAGTGACCTGTGTGGTGGGGGGCTGGCTGCTGGACCTGCGGGACCGTTACTCCTTCTTCCACAAGCTCATCCCGCTATTGCTCAGCAGCTTGGACGACGAGATACCCGAAATCGCGTAAGTGGGGACATGGCGGGCGCGGCCGCGGTTCTGGGCAACTGTCTGGGCTCCTGTTCGGGCGCTGGAGGCCTCTGCCGTGGCCGAGCTGCGTTCCTCTGTTCTCTGGTTCCTCAGGGACTTGCTCTTCCTGAGGAGTTGTTGCAGCGGTGTGGTTTCTCCCAGCTTCAGCCTCTCAGGGAGCCCTGTTCTCCCTTTGTGCTGAGAGCACGTGACATACAGAAGGTCTCCATGGCTGTTAAAACGATTTTGCATTTTTTAGTACTTTGTGCAGATGCTCAGAAAGTGGTCACCTTTCAGTACTCTAGTAAGAGGTTGAAAAGCCCCACAGCTTCCTGGCATAGTCTCTCAGGGACTGAGCGCCATGGGCCCGCCTGCCCCTGCAGGAGCCTCTGACCCGTGTGTGCTGTGCCACAGGTGCGAGGCGGCCAGCCTCTGGGAGAAGGTCGGCCTGCAGTGGCAAAGGGAGAATGAGGACGACCTCAAGGACAAGCTTGACTTTGCCTCGCCGCCCCCAGCCCACCACCCCTCTCCAGGTGAGTGCAGCCCCAGGACGCCACGGAGGTGGGGGGTGCTAGTCCATCTTGGGACGGTTCTGAACCTGTACACCGAGGGTTGTGTGCAGACTGGGCAGCAGCTCCGGCCAGTGGCAGAGGGAGGACACCATCCCTCCTGCAGAGCGCTGAGCCTGGGCCAGAGCCAGGCACCACAGCAAGCCGGCAGAGAGGCACTGTGGGCAGGAACAGCCCCTGTGGGCAGGAACAGCCCCTGACGCGGGCAGGCAGCAGGGGGAATGGGGCGCCGCCCCCACCCACCCCAGTGTCGCTCCTCCCAGTGGCCTCTCCTCTGGGCCAGCTGCTCTTAGGAGGCAGATGGCCTCCTGGGTCCTGAAGCCCCCGGCAGGCTCTCACCTTGCTGCTCTAAGTACACCACCCTGGGTCTTGCAGCACAGAGAAGGGCACAGTAAGCTAGGCAGCTGCTGCGGGCAGTGGTGGTGGGGATTTTGGAAACGGGCTATGCTTTGTCATTTCCCAAGAGCTTTTTTGGTGAGCTTCCTCTATGGGTGCAGCTGTACCTCTACTGTGGTGCACAGTGTATGGGCCACAGGTAAAAGGCAGCCCTTCCTCTCAGGGCAAAGGCCTCTGTCCATTTGCACCATGGCCTATGCCAGGTTTCCTGCTCACACCTGTGCACAGTCCCCTGCTGTTCCTCCTCAGGGCCCAAGTCAGATCCTATGCATTTGTCCCCCAGAGGCCCACCCTGGCCCCACTGGCAATCTGCCATGAGCCCGTGACATCACCTCTCCCAGACTCCAGCCCTCAGAGCAGCTGCCTTTCTAAATTGTGGAGTAACTGGCATGAGTAAGTTCACGCCTTGGGGTAGAGTGCTGTGCTCATTGTCCCCACAGCTCAGTCTTAATGTTGCACCGACAAATCACAGCACAGGGCACTTCTCACCTGGCTTACCCACTGGGCACTGGGCACCGGAGGACGGGTTCTGGGGCAGCTGGTCTCCCCTCTGGCCAAGTCTGTCTCCCGGATGCGCAGGCTTTTTATCTGCTTCCACCTGGAGGACGTTCAGGTCACTTCCAGTTTTGGGGTGACTTCAAGTAAGGCTGAGACGCACTTGTGCACAGGCGTTTGCATGAATGTACCTTCTCATCTTCCCAGGGGAATGCCCGGGGGTTGCTGGCTGTGTGGGGGTCATGTATAGACCCTGTGGGAAGCCGCTATGCCGCTTTCCCAAGCGGGAGCCCTTGGTGGTGACATTACCGCCCAGGCTGGCGCACAGTGGGACTGCAGAACAGTTTTGATTTGTGATTCCCCAAAGACAAGTGACGTTGGGCATCTGTCCATGGGTTTACATCACATGCTTATCCACACATCTTCTGTTAAGTGTCTGTTCAGAACTCTTGTGCATATTTAAGTTGGGTTGTTCGCTCCTTTATTAGGGGGTTTTGAGAGTTCTTCACACATTCTGGGTACAGTCTGTCTTCAGACCAGTATCTTGCAGCCCTTCTCTGGTGGGCTGCCTTGCATGGCAGGTCATCCTCCCTGACGGCCTGCTGGGCACTGCTCCCTCCCCATGCCTGCTCCTCCCATCCTGGGGTCTCTGCTCCTGCTTCACCCACCTGGAGATCTCCCTGAAACCTCCCCTTTCCCTGCTCCACTTCCTCCCTCTGACTCACCTTAGCTGATGTAGTCATGCTGCTTCTGGGCTGAACATTTGCTCCCAAAGGGCAGACTTATCTACACTAAATCCCAGCATCTGAAAAGATGCACCAGGGACAGAGGCATCTCATCGGGTACCAGGTGAGTGGGTGATGTGTCCCCTGTTACCTGTGACCCTGGACAATCTAACTGTGGCTGAATCACAGACAAGACCAGATGAGCTCACCACTAGTAGCCAAGGGAATCAGGCAAGTCACACCTGGATTGAGGCCTAATCAGAGCCTAATTTCCCTCCTTTCCTAAGAAAATAAGGTGTGCATAGCACAGAAATATACCTGTTCACCACACTCATTAACTGCACCTTTAATCCAGGCTCCATGTGGGACGTCAGAAGGGCACCTGTCAGTTGTTCCCTGAGCGATGCACTCGCCCCGTGGGGGGTGCAAGCTCATGTCTGAGTCTCTGCTGGTTGTGCTTGCAAACCACCTGCAGCAGGACTGGGTGGTGACCCCAGCTCTAGGGTCTTTTCTACTCTGAGATTGTCCATCTGTTAAGAGTTATTTGCTTGGTAATGCATGGGTGAAAGAGGCAGAGCCCTTCACAATGGCAAGTAGCTAGCCAGGCCTCAACATAGGAGAGCAGAGCTGGCTTTTTATGCCCACATTAGTAGTGAGTGTAACCACCTTTGAATAAATAGCGTTGTAATGCAGATTGCTCTCCGCACAATGCCCTTCTGTGCTCTCAGGTTCTGCCTGAGAGCTTGGACCTGGTCTACTTTGCCTGTATGTTTGGAAACATGGGGTCCTAAATGCAAGTTGTCAGAAATGTTACATTGTGCAGAGAAAATCAGAAGCAGAGGAGAGGCCAGTAGCAGACTCACAGAACGCAAGAATGGACTAACAGTTACCAAAGGGAAAGGAACTGGGGAAGTTGAGTGGGAAGGGAGGGATAAGGGGGAAAAAGGGGTATTACGATTAGCATATATAATGTAGCGGGGGTGGGGTGGGGATACAGGGAAGGCAGTATAACACAGAGAAGACTAGTGATTCTATAGGATCTTACTACACTGATGGACAGTGACTGTAATGGGGTATGTTGTAGGGACTTGATAATAGGAGAGTCTAGTAACCATAATATTGCTCATGTAATTGTACATTAATAATAGCAAACAAAGAAAAGAAAACCAAAAGCACAGTGGGGACTTCACCATGTTTTGAGGCCAAGTGCCCCCAGAGCTTGGCCAGGCTGTTGTCTCAGTGCCAGGGGCTCTACCGAGACGCCTGATGTTTGTGCACCAGTGGTCCCCAGTGAGGCGTGCACTTCTGAGCACAGCAGAACTGTATGGAGCGCCTGGCTCGGGTGCCCACGCAGACCCCTACTGAAGTCCCGATGCAGCTGGTCACGCAATGACATGGGGTTGGGAGGGAACTAGCCTTCAAAATGGCATGGAAAACAACAGGTCGACAGCATCACCCTGATTACTTCGGAGCCTCAAATCCCCCAGGGAGGGAGGCAGCCTCAGCATCACAGAGCCCATGTGCATCATGCTGCACTCACCCCATCTCAGGCAGTGCCAGAGCCCCACGAGGCCATTTCTGCTACCATCCACTGAGCACATGGAGGACATGTGACCCCAGGGGCTGTGTTCCCTGTGCTCCAGGCCGAGGTGTGCACAACGTGCTTGTGTGCGCAGCCGCGGTGTCCCCAGTTGCAGTAACTTACCATCGTTACCCCGCAGAACAGAGGCAGGCGAGTGTGCTTATCAGCATAGCTGCTTTTCCACGAGGTTGCACTCATCTGAGTTATGCCACATTTTGTCTCTGTTTTCTTGGTGTGTCTTCCTGGAGAAGAGTTACCAGTACTGGGGAGAACAGATCACAGTTCCTTACTGCCATGCAGAAGGGGCCACGAGTTCCCACGATGAAGGCAAAGTGTCAGTTGGGAGGAGTCTGCCTTTCATTTTGATTTTGAGATCGTTCTGCTCCTAGGAGAGTCCATGGTTCTTCATCAGGCACCGTGCCGGCTGAGCGCACTTGGAGAGGAGAGGTGGCAGACGGATGAGTCTCACCATGCTTTGAGCAAGGATTTGAACTTTGACCCTCAGACCCCAGAGAGCACTGCTCCTTCGGCCTCCTCTGCCTCTCATGCACAGAGCGTGAACTTTGAATCTGCTGCTGTTTTAATCCTCCCTACTCATGCAGCTCCTCCCCATATCCACACATGTCCCTCATGCTGACACAGGATGGCAGAGTTGCCTCCTTACCTCGGCATGGGTGTGCGGCACCATCAAACCTTCTCCATTGTTTCAACTGTGAAAACAAATTGGCCACAGAGCACTGCACCTTGTGTGCTGTGAGGCTTCGTAGGCTCTGTTCACACAGTCATCCGCCATGGAGGCTGAGAGCTGGGCTGATGGCTGTGTCTGCCTGCCCTTTTGCTGCACCACCACTTACGTTGTCTTTCCATGCTTTTTGCCAAAGGACTGCAAGTATGTTTTCAAAGAAAAGATTAGCAGAGAACACGAGGCTTTCCAGGCACCTGACAGTCTGGAATCGGACTTCAGAAGTTAGTCATCCTCTCAGACCCGGGGCCTCAAGACTTCCCTCTGCTGCCCATCCTGCAGTGTAAACACCAGCCCGAGCTGTTTCCTAAACTAGCAACAGTCAAACCCAGAACGGGGTGTGGGTATGGACAGGCTGAAACCCTGCTGGTGGAAAGGCAATGTAGTGCGGCCACTTTGGGAGCAGTTCAGAGACTTGCTGAAATGTTAACCATCAGTTTAGCTGTTCCACCCAGAATGTGCTCAACAGAAATGAAAGCTTGTGCCCCCAGTATCTGCAGGCATATCCACAGCAGCCCCAAGCGGAACACTGGATATCCATCAGCCAAGGGGCTGTCCATGTGCACAGTGGAGGGTCATCGATGGTATAAAGGGGTGTAGCTCTGACATGCACCCAGGCACGAGTCTCTGGGCCTCATGCCCAATGAAAGACAACGTGCATGTGACGTCTCCCAAAGGACAGAGCAGTGGCTCCCTGGGGGTGGCATGGGGTCTGGCACCTAGCTGGGGCCTTAGGGTGATAGGAGTGCCCTAAAATGGCTGTGGTGGCATTTGCACGCTGTGTGCGTTAACTGAAACTAGGGTTCTAGGACTCAGGAGTGGCTTCTTTGACAGGTAACTTCAGCAAAGCTGTTTTTAAGACACCCACTGAGTCTGGAATCAGTGTTAGCAGTATGTGTTCAGAAAACACAAGACTCCTGCCCCTGCAGGAGTCAGGGACTCGGTGGACCCCTTTCTCTGCACATGGACCCGCTCCTCCACTGGGCTTGCTGTCTGGGACAGCTGCTCAGCAGGACCACCGTGTCCCCAAGGGTGCAGTGCAGGGCCCTTTACCTGAGATGACAGGCACTGTTGGCAGCAAATATGGATGTACTCCTGGGTTGAATTTCTGAAGTGTGGGAGCTGCAGAGACAGAGATGGGATCTTGGGGGCCTAGTTAGGGGCAACCACTCGGGGCTTGTTGCTCTGCGTGAGTCTTTGCGCTTTACCCCTCTGCACTAGTTTATATTGCTGTAAACTGCCTCTTCTCACGTCCAGTTTGATTTGGGATGATTTTCAGGATAAGATTATTTTGTTTGTACTTCAAGTTCTGTTTCCTCTGTTTCTATATTCATGTGAAAGCCCTCTGAGATGCACACACACTGAGAGGGAGAGAGGTTTGATTCTATCAAACTGATGATTTTGGAAGTTACTGCCATGGAAACTGGAGGTGCTAGTTGTTTGAATTCCCCTTGTGAACCTAGTGGTTAAACTCAGCCTTGTGTTCACTACAACCTATTTGGTGTCTGAGCCTTAGACTGTTAGGCCAATGATAGTAAACGCAAATAAAAAAATACATACACTCTTAGTCCCTGTGAGACCAGGGCCAGGGGGCTGTGAGAACAGGTCTGGGGGCTGGGAGAGCAGGACTGAGGACCGTGCAACACCAGCATAAGGCTGGTTGGGCAGGTGGGTGAGGAGGGAGGAGGCCGGGGACAAGTGCACATCCATGGGCAGCCGGTTTTTGACAGAGGCTTAAGGACATTCCAGTGAGAACAGAGGTCTTTCAATAGTGGTGCTGGAATAATTGGATATGCAGAGAAGTGAATTCAGATCCATTTCTTATATGATTTACGGAAGTTAACCCAAAATGCACCATGGACCTAAATGTGAAACTTAGAACTGTAAACCTGGAGGACAAAGCCCTTGTGAGCTGGTCAGCAAGGTGTCCCACACGGCAGCATGAGCATGCCCCTGAAAGGATGGACTGATTAATTGGGCTTCATCGAAATAGAAACTTCTGCTCTTTGGAAGAAGTCAGGAGAATGGAACAACAAGCCACAGAAAGTATTTGCAAATCACATACAGGGACGTGTATCTGGAGAGAATGCCCCAAACTCTAAAGTACTAAAACAAAACTCCCCCTTTTTTACTGTGCAAAAGGAAGATTTGAAAGGACACATCACAGAACAAGACACAGACAGCAGATAAGTGCATGAAGAGATGCTGCAAGCCACTGGCCCACGTTTCTGACCCCCAAGGAAGCACCTTGTGCCCTCCTGGAGGAGCTTTAAGGCCGACCATACCGAGGACGGGGAGGCACTGGGGGTCTCCTGCACACCTGGTGGGGGCATCCATTGGGTGGGAATACCTATTGGCAGTTTCTTAAAACGGTAACTGTGCCTACCGTGTGACCCAGACTCGCGCCCCGGGCCCTTCCTGAGAGAAGTGAAGAGTGGTGCCCACCCACGCTTACCCGTGAATGCTCCTCATGGCCGTACCCAGAGCCCACCCCAGAGTAAAGTCTGCATCTGCCAGCAGGTGAATGGCTAAGCAGAATGTGCCCGACTGTCAGGCTAGTGCTGCTTACAGACATAAAGGAACGTGAGCATGCCGACCTCAGTCACCCTGCAGAGCGCACGGGGCCTGATGACAGGAGATGTGCTGGACAGCTCCACGTCCAGATCCTAGAAAATGCAGCTCGTCTGTAGTGCCAGGAAGCAGACTTGAGGCTGCCCGGGGCCGGGGGTGGTGTGACGCATGCAGAGGTCCCACGGGTGGCAAACAGGCAGGGTACGTTTGTCTCAGTGCAGCAACAGCAGCAGGCAGGTCCATGCGGCACTCACCACATAGTGCTGGTGTGTGTGATATGTCACCGTGACACTGCTGTGAAAAGTCTGAGCAGATTAGGAGTCCATGGTCGCCTGTCTGCCTTGAGGGTGGCTTTGAGCCTCTGAGGTCTCGGGGAAGCCTGTAGGTGCGCCTTCAGGAAGGAACACACCATGATAACTTCCACACGGGTCGCTGAGGTTTCATCCTGAGTCCCATCGCCTGTTCTTGATCTTTTTAACCTAGAGAGTCGGCCAGCATTGGGCTGTCGGGAGCTGGTCTTCAGAAACCTCTCCAAGATCCTTCCTGCCGTCTGCCATGACATCACCGACTGGGTGGCGGGGACCCGCGTGAAGGCAGCGCAGCTGCTGGCCCTCCTGCTGCTCCACGCAGAAGACCATGCCACGCAGCACCTGGAGGTGGTCCTGAGGACCCTGCTCCGGGCCTGTGCCGACGAGGAGCAGGCTGTGCTCAGCAGTGTGAGTCCTCCCACCGCGCTGCGCAGTGGCCAGCAGGCTGTAAGGGCACCCGTGAGGTACGCAGGTCAGGAGTGCCGCTGCAGGAAGGCAGAGAAGGTCCTCTCGCCCAGGACCTCCACTGGGTCTTTCTGTCTCCGAGCCCTACCCCCAGCCAGCCCTGCAACCAGTGGTCTGTCTGCTGTGCCCGTAAAGAGTGGCACTTAAGATTAATCTTCACGGGTGCCAAGCCACTGCCTCATCGTGACTTCTCTTGAAGCATGTGCACGCGAATGGCTCTGTTGTCATGACCCTGTACATGAGGGCACAATCCATGCGTGCTGTTAGGTGACCAGGTGTGTGTGGATCGTACACAAGGCCATCCACACGGGCTCGGCCTCGAAGCCACATCCATAGGCGGCCAGGGCCCTCCCTGGTCAGATAGCCTTCCCACCCCTGTGACCAGAGGTGCAGGTGAGCGCCGCAGTTTACCCTTGGGACGTGACTGCTGGGCTTGGCCACTCACACTCCTCTGACTGACAGCCCCCCTGCAGAAGTCTCTGGCTGCACATGGGGCCTGCACAGCAGCCTGGTGCGCTTGAGACTGCCCAGTGATGAGATCGCTGAGACTAGGCAGGCTGGACTGCCGTGTCCTTGGAGACAGCTTCCTTCCCTTGCCCGGAGGCCAAAGCCGAGGTGGGCCCGTCCACCGGCCCCTTCTTGTGGCCGAGAAGTGTCAACATGAGTGCAGACAACCAGGTGCAGTGAGGCATGTGCGGCGAGGACCCCGGGGCACAGCCCTCCACGCCAGGCCCACACTGCCCCGAGGCCGCCAGCCAGAGCGCCTCCGACAAGCTGTCCCCATGATGGGATGCGCCTGGTCCCTGAAGGGCTGCTGCGCAGGGCCATTTCTGGGGATAGCAGCTGTGGCATGGTCACGGGCTGCCCCTCAGTGTCCCTGTGCCCACAGTGTGCCAGGTCCGCGGAGCTGATCGGCACCTTCGTCAGCCCAGAAGTGTTCCTGAGGCTGATCCTGTCCGCTCTGAGGAAGTCGCCCTCCTGCCCCGGCCTCCAGGTCCTGACCTCTGCCATCCGAGGCTGCCCAAGGGGCGCCCTCCAACCGCACCTGCAGGCCCTCGCCACAGAGCTGGCCCAGGCCCACATCTGCCACGGGGCTGAGGATGTAAGAGCGGGACAGGGCGGGAGGTGGGGCTGAACTAGCTGGGCGCAGAGACGGGCAGGGTGTGTGATCTAGACGTATCAAAAAAATGCGTAAAATATGCACACACTTGTCTGTTTTGTCATTTACTTCCATAAAATCAACCACAGGCATTAGTAAATTTGGGGAAGTCAGGAAGCAGTGCACTGTCCTGCCGCGAGTCGCCTGAGGCCGGCTGTGTCTGTGTTTCCTGCAGTTGCTCTCCAGGAGCTACAAAAATAGGCTGTGAACGTCTTTCAGGAACAAACTGAAATGAAAAACTCCTCTGTTAAACAAAACAAGGAGTACTGAGGATGTGTCCGGCTGCGAGTCTGCCCTGAGACAGACAGACAGACACTCACCCACCCCTCTGATCTAGGGACCTGGGCTCCATGGCAGGTGCTTGCCCAGGTGTGTCTGGCCAGGCAGCGCACCTGGGGACTAGCTGAGGAAACTCGGTCCTCTTTGAAACGTTTGCCAAGTGACAGGTAACGGAAGGGAGCAAATGGCTCAATGACAGGTAACTCATTTATTCCTGCTCAGAGGAAACCAGGGGAGCAGGCCCCCCGTCGCCATTACTGAAATTGAAACCCTCCAGCCCTTCTCCAAGTTTAGGCGATCTGGTGACCTTGTTTCAGGAGAGACTAAGTATCGTTTCCCACTGTGTCTTCTCTTTCTCAGGGGTGTGTGTGTAGATGTGGTTAAATATAAAGAAACCTGTGAGTGTGAAGGCCTGATTTCCTCAGACAGTGCCATGTGTGCATCGGGAAAAGCAGATGGTGCCAGCCGTTAGCCCTGGGTTCCCACAGTCATGAGACAGCTCAACAGAAGCTAATAGTGCTATGTGCCTTGAGTGAATTCCTTTGTACTTTAATTGAAAACAGAATAGTTCCTTAAGTATATATGAGAGACCATCTCAGAAATTAGCCAAAATCATATCCTCAAACAAATCAATTAATCAACCTAGGTGTAAAAGAAATTGGGCTGTGGGAAAAGTAGGATTTGCATTAAAACACCATCTGACTACTCATGGGAGTTGGGAACCTGGCGCTCCTGGCCACCTGCTCAGGGTCGGTGAGGTCTGCACTCCGGAGGTGAGGGCTCTGCAGACCCAAGAATCAAGCCCCTGTGATCCCGTGTGCATTTTTTTTGTTTAAACTTCCATGATTTATACCACTGTGAGTGAACCGTGGAATTTTAGAACTGATTCAGAATCTAGAACCAATTATCTAACAAAAAAATCACTAAGTTTTTTTTTTAACTCACACCCCCATTAGCAAAGCTAAAGCAAATACCTCCAATATAACATATGTATACTTGTTTACATCGCTCATGAATTACATACACAACCACCGTCCTGATTCATTCTGTCCTGTTTGGAACACACATGAAGCAAACCCATCAGAGGTGCCGTGAGAAGAGTACAAAATGCACAGAAATAGGAGTAGCAGAGGGAGCCTCCCTGTGCCTGTCACCTAGCAACGTCATCATGCTTACTCCATTCCTCCCATTTAGCGTTTAACAAAATTAATGAGAATTCCTCAATTTGCAGCCTGAGTTCAGCTTTCCCTGCTATCTGAAGAAGCCCCTCCTAAGGCTGGTGTGCTTGAATCTGGGGCTTCTGCCTCATGACATCAGGGCAGGGGTGGGGAGGTGGTGGCCCAGCAGACGGTGACAGAGCTCCCTTCTCTCTTACAGCACATCTTCGGCGAGCACCTGCTACTCTGCGTGCAGGCCCTGGTGTCCGTGGGCCGAGAGGGCTGCAGGACATGCAGCCTGCAGCTCCTGGAGGTGCTGGTGAGCGTGGCAGCGCTCTCGCGTGCCCCAGGCCTGGGCGATAAGGTGAGGGTGCAGATGGCTTTTCCACAGGTAGAACAGCTTGTGCCTGGGAAGGCCCTCATCCCCAAACAGAGTGGAGCCGTCATCAAATGCTAACCTCCCAGCTGCGGGCACACCCAACTTAAGAATTCCAAATGGGGACAAGTCACTGGTGAGGTGGCCTTAGGGGGCACAAGAATCTTAGATTCCTGCCAATGCCTGTTTACTTCAGTCTCTCAGAGTGAAGATGATGACTGGGTCTCGAGTCTGGTGCAGAGAAACACCAGAAACAAGGCCTCACTTGCCACACGCCACAGCACTTGCCTGTGTAGTTAAAGTGTGTAGGCCAAGGCCTGGGGAGAAAATATTGCCTTGACTTTCCCACTCAGCGCCAGGCCAGCCCTTCAAAGTTGCTTCTGTTGCGTTGGCTCTGCACTTAGGCTCACGGTGCGCCCAGCCGAGAATCACTGGAGACCTGGTGTCTCGGCTCCAGGAGTGGAGACCGCGGTTTTCCTTCCCCGGCTGCCTGTCTCCACAGCCCTGAGGCACATATCTCTGGATCCACCTGGAATGGGAGGAAGCCCACTGCCCTCCCCATCTTTTCTCAGGACCACCCCAAACTGTGCTTTATCTCTTCAAAAACCACCTTCCAAAGGCTTAGTGGGCAGCCTGTAATGCGGGCCGTAACTGGTAGCAGCAGAAGCCAGCCTATGCCCGGGAGTGGCAGGGTTGGGAAGCGGGCAGCAGGACCACAGGTGAGTCTGCAGAGCAGGCCCAGGCCACCAGGCTGCTGACCAGAGTCTCAGGTACCTTCCATTCTAAACCCAGAGGAGAAAAGAAGGGGCCAGAAGGAGCTGGGGTCGCTCCTTGCCCTCTGTCCCAGAGTGGCAGAAGGCTGGGCTGGGAGGACACAGGATGGTCTTAGGTGGACACAGTCTGAGTCTGTTCCATCTTGTCCCTTGAAGTGGCCTGCTGCCCCGTTGGACCCCAGCCCCGCTGTGTAGGGGCGGTGCCTGGGGTGTACAAGGTCAAGCCCTGCTGCTCGGTGTCTTCATGGACACTCACTTGTCTGCTGCCCAGCAGCGTGGATGCAATGCAAATGGAAGTCAAAGCTTATATCCCGCTTCCCAGCCCCCGACCTGCCACTGGGTGCCTGGCTTTAGCAGCTGGCCATGTGTGGTGGGATCACCACCACCCCCGATGTGAAGGTGGGGCTCCAGTCTGGCTTTAGAGCCCTAACAGGATTGTTCCAGCCTGGGTCTTGCACTTCCAGGTTCAGGAAGCCACAGCCGCACTGGCTGCAGCCCAGGACATCAACAGCACCCGAGACCTGTACAGTGAGCACACGGGTGCACTCCTGGAGTGGCTGGCCACATCGCAGCCCAACTGGACCTCCCACTCCGCAGAGCTCCTGCAGTTCTGCGAGGTTGTCATCCGCTCAGGTGAGCCCCCAGCACTGGCGCCCCTCAGGCTGAGAGGCTTCTGGCAGGACCAGCCATGCCTCACTGCAGGCAGCCCAGCCTCTCCCACCCATGGGGAACGAGCATTTTCAGGAACAAAACCTTTACCTTTAATAATGCTGAGAGCACCATATTGAAGACTGTTATATTGCTCTTGGCCCCTTTCGCAGCCTGTGTTCTCTAGGTACCTCTAAACGTTGCTATAGAACTTAGCGCTTCCAAGCAAGTGGGTGTTTTGAGTGTGGCAACAGGTGTACTTCACCCCCACCCCTCAGAGATGTCAGCCACTAGGTCAGCTCCCCATAAGCCTCTGCATGCAGGTGTTTTCCTGACATGAACAGTGTTACACACGTAGAGTGCATGCTTCAAAACTTCAGTGAGGCTTGCATGGAAGAAACCACTGTGGTTTATTACAGGTATCCTGTATGTTCCCAGGTGGGTATAAGCTTGTCAAGTAAGTTTTTCTTCATTTAAATTCAAGAAAACACTTTTTCTCTGCAAGCTGCAGACCTCCTCAGCACCTTCTGGCTCTGCCCTCCCGCTTGTACCCTCTTGGTTGTTTAAGGTGTAATACACTGAGTAGGAACATGTGGCCTCTGGGCGCTACACTGATTAATCATCATGGTCAGAGGTTGCCCAGGACCTAAAAGTGGCTCATTTTAGTGACCCCAATGCTATGTGCGACCATGGGAAACAATTCAGAATTGTACTCATTCAGTTGTATGCAGAGCTGTGTTCCCAAATTTGAGAAGAAAAACATAGGCAGTTATGAGCACTGCTCAGCACCTCGTACCAGACACTGATCTGACCGCTCTGCAAACCAGCCGTCGTGTCCTCCCAGCTGTTCATGCGGCCGCAGAGGAAGCTGAGGGCATGGAGTCTGAACTACTAGCCCAGATCACGCAGCAGGATGCTGAACGGGACCCAGCAGCCACCAGAGCCTGCCCTGCCCCTGCCCCACGTGCCTCTTGGTGGGGCCTGTTGTGTTCTTTGTTGTAGGGATTTAAATTAACAATTTAGTTTTGCATTTTTGCTGAATGTTACCCAAACCGTTTCATTTTGACTGGAGATTGCTCCAGTCTTTCCCACAGTCTCGAGCTCACTGCTCCTACAGCAGACGCCCTGCCACCTGCTGGTCCTGGTGGCACTTTACAGCCTGCTGGTGTAACTGATGGGCAGCTCGGAAAACAAGCCCTTTGGGCCCACTTCTCACATCTGCACCGCCAGACAGGACAGTGTTGGCAACGTGATGTTAAGCAGCAAGAGCTGGTTTTAAAACTTTTAAACCACTGGGTAATAACTCAGTGATCCCAGCTCTTTCTTCGGAGTCCCTGTGTGCACACATGTAAAATTTCAATACAAGTCTACCACTGGGTCTCAGACACAGTGTTCTGGGAGTATATGGTTTCTGCTTCCCATATTACCAAGTTTTCTATAATGAGCATAAAAAAAGATTTAAGTTTTTCCCTAAGTAAAATTCTTGAATCCCTTGTTTGCAAAAGTAATTATAAAACATTTTAAACATACAGAGACATGACCTCCTAAGCTTTGGGTGGATGGGGGCTCTAGTGGAGTCACAGCCTTGACTCTTGACATTTGAGACCAAGAGAAGAAAAAAGGCAGAGACAAAGGGAACGTCCTCAGGGAGGGGACAGGGCGAGCCGCACGAAGTAGAAGCAGAGTGGGAAACATAGATGAACACGTGGGGTGCCACTTGTTTGTCGGGTTAGGCACACAGAGCGTGTGCTTGGTGTTGCCAGGCTGCAAGCCATGGGCACTGCTGGCAGCACTGTGAGGAGCCCATCTGCCGGGAAGCAGTTTATTGAGCTGCAGGCATTACCACTGGGTATATAGCCATTTATCCAGCAGGAGATTTGTGACTGTACTGGGGGAGGCGTCCCCACTGTGGAGAAGGCTGTGTTCCCAGCTGCACTCAGCAGGTCAGTTGAGCAGCAGAGTCTAGAAGTGGCCCCAGCACCTCACAGGGAGTTAGCAACACAGCGATGCTCCCATGGCAGAAATGCCCCAACACTGAGAGCGGTTGTCATCAGGGTTATGGCAGCACAGGGGACACAGCGTGCATGGGGAGACGGCCGCGGGCCCAGGTCCACACTCCACAGGGGCAAGGGGCCTGCAGTTAAGTGCCAGTTTGGGGTTCTGTTTTTTTAACATTCTTGGTACCATGTGGTCTGCTTCAAAACCCCAGCAGCCCATCAACAACAGGCCTTCAAAGTGGGTGTTGCACTCTCTTCTCTGTTTAAGCTGGAACTCATGTCTTAATTCCAATGTGTGAAAATGTAGAAAAAGCCAAAGAGGCAAGAGACTCCAGAAATGCAGCCAGCCTGGGTGTCCTGAGGACATGGGACCTGCCCAGCCCATGTGGGGAGCAGGTCCTCCCTCCACACCTGCCTCCAAGGCCCCCAGATCCGGGCTCCCGGGAGGCCCTCTGGGTGAGGCACCTCCCACCCTCAGGCCACCTTGCCACTGGAACAGAAGTGTCCCATAAAGGACATGCCCAGCTCAGACGGTGCTAGGAAGGTGGGCCGAGGGCAAGGCCTGGGGCCCACAGACGAGGACCCTGGAGCCAGGCTTGCTGTGGAGGGCATTTCCTACACTCAAATATGCCATAACTATCAACAAATGCCCTGCAGTCTTGAGTTTTTTCTCCTTGTTTTAATTAGGGAGTGTTTGTTTTAACACAGACCTTAAGTGTTAAAAATGATGTCTTCACTTCCCAGCAGGAAACATGCTCAGGTTGACAGTGTTTGCGGGAGGGGCAGCAAGGTGCTCTCTGGACTTGATGCCTCCCTCATGTTTGTGCGTTTTCTCCATTTCCCATTGTGAGCGGAGCGGCTTGATGGCCTGATGGTCACTACCAAGCACTCTCACCGCCCTCCTCTGAGGGCAGGTGTCCAGGTGTCTTCTATGCAATATTAAAAGAAAATAAGCCTCAGAGGGTCTGAGCAAAGACCTGGCACTCACCCGTGCTGGAGGTACCCTGCCCACAGGCCACTGTCCTGATGGCTGTTTCTGTGCTTTGGTTTTTGTCTTTTTTTCTTCCCCCAGACCCAGACATAGCTCCAGGTTAATGGGCTGCCTCCCCATGTCTCATCTCACCGCTCAGACGCCAAGGTGTGGGGCAATGCATCATGAAAGGCTTAGGTGCTTTGCACATACCCTTGTTTGTTATGAGCAAGCACACTGGTGCGGAGCACAGCAGCCTGAGAGTCACCTTTATAGGCCTGGGACACCGCAGCCTGCCTGTTGGCACAGGGCGGGTGGAGAGGTGCTTTATGACCCGTGTGCTTGTGGGCGACAGCCCCCGTCTAGACCCCAGAGACTCTTTTATTCCAGTCACGAGCTGGTGAGTTGCCAGGTACTAAATATCAGGACCTGTGTGTGAAACCTTTTTATAGCACAGGGAGTGTTGTGTCCAGTTCTCCGCCAAGTGACAAGTTTGAGAAGCATGATAGCTGCCAAGTATTAAACACCTTACATGCTCTGAAAATTCATTTTGGTTGATCTTTTAAATACTTGTGGCTCAAATTTTTTTTTAAGAACTTGGAAAAATAAAATAGAAAGTTGACATGCTGAACAATTGGAGTGAGTTGGGGTTGTATGTCTTGTTCACTTTCCTTTGATAACCATACCACCCTCTGTAAAGGAGAGGCATGTAGCAGGCCTGGCCCCATCGCATGATGACCAGCTGCCGTTTTTCTTCCAGGCCCTGCCCTCGGAGAGGCACTACCCCAGCTCATCCCCATGGTCAGGAGCTGCCTGCAGCCGGCACGAGACCCCCAGATGCGCCTGCAGCTCTTCTCCGTCCTGTCCAGGGTGCTGCTGGCGGCCCAGGAGACTGTGGACTCCCGAGGGTGGGTGGCTCCACCTCCATGCGCCTTGTCCACCACCCCACCTGAGGTCCCAGGTGGGAGGTGGGAGTCCCCAGTCCTGGCTCCCCACCCTTTCGGTGAGCAGTGCAGTCAGGGCAGCCGGCACCATGCAAAGGGACGCTGAACTGAAGTCGCTGCTGCACCGTTGCTGCCCTCTCACAGGGTGGGAGGTTTGGAGAATGTTAACTGTTAATGGCTTATAGATTAGCTGTTCTTAGTTCTAAAGGCATTTTGGTACCTTTCAAACCTAACAATTGAATCACCATTGATGGTTAAAACATGCAAAGCTCTTCTGTTACCCAGAGAGCTTTTAGGTGCATCAAAACACGAAGGATTTTTGACAGAGACGCTGGGGAGCTCCAAGCAGCCTGGGTGGATCCCTCCCCACAGTGGGCCCAGACTTGTCCTGAGTCCTGCTCTGGGGAGCAACCCCTCTGGGGCCCTGCCGTTTTCCTTTGTTAAATTGGCAAAATGTCCCAAACACCCAAACACAAGAGGTGGGCAGAGCCCACATGCTGGTCCCTCTCAGTGAGGGCCTGGGAGCGAATGGGGACCCATCCCCTCGGGGAACATGTCTGTCAGGACTGGAAACCCCTGTGCTGCTGGGTTGTGAAGTTTCCTGTGGAAATAATTGAGTTGTTCAGACTTTTCTGCCTGTCACACGGATCTCCTCACTGCCATTGGGCCTCTAGCCAGCCCACCAACTCGGCTGCAGAAAGCTTTATTTCCTGCCAGCCTGCAAAGACTTGTAGGCTGAAAGGGGACCATAAAGACACATGGAGGAGAGCTCTGGCGGCCATCCAGTTATTAAGCAGATCTCTGTGTAGATGACCCTTAAGGTGTGTGAGCACAGCCAGCCTGTTACTCTTCGAACCTGTGCTCCACCTCAGCAAGGGCCCGACCCCAGCTGAGTGCAGCTGAGGCTGGACTGAGTTCCCAAAAGGAGCTGCACTTGAAGGGTTTTTGTGGGAAGAAATTGGCATGAGAAGAGAATCGTCCAACTTGGAATTATTTCTTTTCCAGCCCTATTCCTACAGGCAGGACAGATTGAGAAGAACACTACTTGGCTTTGATTCTTAGGGTTATAAAGTGGTAGAATCAGGAAGCATCTAACTGCTTAATAGGAACAGTTGCAAGGGAGCCCATGGCTGACTCCTCTGTCTTGTGTGCCCTTCACCAGACCAGTGTCCTCAGGCCTCCGCAGGTCCTGCCCAGGGGTGGGTACAGGTGCAGGGGTCTGAGCAGGGCTGGCTTCTGCCATTGGGCGTCCCCACCTTGGACACAGGAGAGTCAGGAAGGGTCACTGTCTGATGGAAGCACCCAAGAGAGATTTGGGGGCAGGCTGTGTCCAAGGATGTGCCAAGTCTGGGAGGATGGCCCCTTGGTTGGAGAGCCACCCTTATGAAAAAGGGGTGCTCGTGCAGCAGGGCACCCTGAACAAAGTCCCTGAGTGCCCCCTGCCCTGCCGCCCACCCGCTCGGCTTTCTGTAGCTGCCCCACGGAAGCCGAGGGCCTCTGTGCTAGTCTCATTTCTGCTGGGCTTCCCATTTGGCTTGCCCTCCCAGGCTGACATGCTCTCCCATGTTTCCACCCCAGCCAGTTTCACAGCTACCTGGACACAGTGACAACAGACATCTTTGTCCCCAATCTGCAGTGGCATGCAGGGAGGACGGCTGCAGCCATCCGCACGGCGGCTGTGTCCTGCCTCTGGGCGCTTGTCAGCAGCAGGGTCCTGTCAGACGAGCAGGTAGGGCTCGCACACCCCAGGCCCTACATTTCCCTCGCAGACCTCTTCAGGGATAAGAGCTCGGGTGGCTTCGGATGGCAAAACACTGCTTTCCAAAATACATGGGGGCGTGGGGGCTGGAGTGTTAAGAGCAGGTGCTACGTGGAGGTCTGCAGAAAGCACCTTCTTCTCTGATCATCTTGGGGGTTTCTTAGGTTTATAAGAATGTAATCACCAGTAGCTAATTAAATTGGACAGACCTTGGGCCTTCTGCTCTATTTTTATTCCCATCTCCAGCTAATAAGGGAATTAAGGAAATAATAGAAACAGTTTTAAAACACTGAGGTTATTTCATACTGGTGCCTTCACGCCATGGAAGGCGTCACTGCGTGTGAGCACCACCTCCACACTGAACAGCTGTGATTTAAATTAAAATGTCTCTAGATTTTACTACCCACGATACCCATTCATGCTAGCAAGTAGTCAGCTATGTAGGATGTATGCCTCAACCGGATTTTCTAATGGACTTTCTGAGAAATCAGCTGGCCCAAGGTAAAAGGGTTCAGATTATCTAGATTGTAAAATCAAGATTCAAGTCTGCTTGTTACATAGAAATGTCAAAGTGGCATTCCACACCCCATTAATTACATTTGTACCAAAGCTGCATCTCTTACCACGAATGAACTGCAGCCTTAGTGCCAGGACAGCGCCAGTCATGAATCCCATCTCATGTGTTTTTACCAATCACAGATACAAGATGTGCAGGAAACCCTGATGCCTCAAATTCTAACCACTCTGGAAGAAGACTCACCAACGACTCGATTAGTTTCATGCCGAATTATTGACATATTTTTAAAAACCCCTGGTGGTGTGATTAATCCGGATAAGTTCATCAAGATTTACCCTGGTAGGACATGTTTCTTCTCCAAAGTGTATGTACTTGCCTGGCAGCTGTTTTCTTTTATGGGAAAAATAGAAAATGCTACTTTGTCTTTTGGTCAAGCTGGTGCTGAAGCCAAACACGGCAGTGACAGAAAAACATCCCTGAGTAAACAGCACAGCACAAGGAACAAGGCAGGCATCTTGTGACCAGAATGGGGGCAGCAGAAGCAGGGTGGGAGCTCAGGCTCCCCCAGCAGCTGGGGTGCAGCCCCGTAATGTGGGAGGGACCCCCCTCAAAGCAGGAGCCATGGCCAGGCGCTCTGAGTAAGAACCAGTGGGGCACAAGGCTGGTGATGTGCCTGGAAACGCAGGGTCAGAGCCTCTTTGGAGCCCCGGCACCAGGTGAATCTCACGCAGAAGCAGAGTCGGCAGCAGTGAGCAGGGTAGTGAGTCGGGGGAGGTGCACCCTCAGGGGGCACAGGACTTGTGCCAGGACAGACAGCTGTCCCTGATGCTGTGGAAACACAATTCACAGAACCTCAAGCTTCCTTGCAAAGATGCCCTCAGAACAGGGCGCAGAGGACGGCACAGGGAGTGCAACGTGGGCCTCCAGCCATGCTCTGAGCTCCAGAGTGAGGCACAGGAGTTTCCAGAACTGAAGTCGGATGTGACTTCAAAGTGTGGGCTGATGCTGAGTAGGAAGCACCTCCACAAGTCTCGGGGAAACCCTTTCCCACTGGTTCTTTCAAGCTTGTTTTTCTTTTTCCTTCTGAAGCAGCATTTATCCCTACTCAATCTTCCTGGTTCCATTTTTGAACAAGTCCAACTGGTGTGATTTGTTGACTGTTAGGATTAGCTGGGATTTTGCTCACTTTTTAAAACAAAGCCTGCAAAAAAATCACACATATTTGGGCATTTGTCCTCCAACTTATTGCAAATTAGCATGGGGTTATTTGATTGCAGACTCCTCCGTGGTGCCCTCATTTTGTGGGACCAAGTCTGTGCTGTGTGCAGGGGCATATTGAGGAGTTACCACCAACTTGGCTAGGGGAGGGGCACCTGAGGCCCTGAAAGCCCTTCCATGAAAGTGCACAAATGCAGACACAGCAGGCCCCCTCCTGCCCGGGTCAGCGATTTCTCAGGAGTGGGGACTTCAAATGATTACTCGTGTATTTGCAGGCCCTGGAGTTGGGAGCCACCTTTATATGGGAACACAGTAGGAAACTAGCTGCACATTGGTCCACAGTTGGCCTGAGCCCATGGAAAATGGCCATAGAGGAACACATCCTTGTTCTGCAGCATACTAGCTGGCTGGCTGGGGACAAGTACCAACCAAAACACACTGGCCACAGGGCTAGAGAGGCCTTGTAGATCACATGAGACAAGCATGCATTTGATAAAATCCTGTTCATTGACAGCACAAGTTTGTACCTGTGGGGAGGATCGCTATTCGGTCTCAGGCAGCAGAATGTCTGGTCCCAGAGGCTCAATTGGTGAAGGTGGCGGCAGCTGTCCCCAGGCTGCAGCTCTGTCCCCAGAGCCTGTGGCAGGCGGGACTGGCAGACACCATCCTGTGCTGTCTGCTCATTGGGGAGCATCTTGGGGCCCCTTGCAGGTGAGGGAATGTGCAGAGAAGCTCAGGTGACACATTCCTGCAGCCTGTGTCCACGTGTCTACCCTCTGGCCAAAGTGGCCAAGGGATCCTGTACACCAGGAGCCACCACCCTGCACCTCCCACATGAGCTCTGGGTGCACGGAGTGTTCCCCCAGGATACAGGTGTCCAGGACCTGGGGTAGTGCCCCATGGGTGTCTAGCACCTACTGGGTGTGTGGCCTGAGCCTCCTGCCCTGGGCCCTGTCTCACACCCCATTCTGGCCCCTCTTCTAGAACTCTTGAAACGCCTGGATGATGTTTCCAGTGACGTGAGGCTAGCAGCTTCCTCTGCCTTAGTCACCTGGCTGGCACGTATCAGAAACGAGGACGGGAGGTCCTTCTACCAAAGTCATGTCCAGTTCCTGTACAAGGAACTCTTGGTGTACCTGGATGATCCAGAGGGCGCCACCCAGGACGCAGTCTTAGGTAAGCTTCAGTGACTTGTCATTCCTATTATGAGAGCATCAATATGCATCTTCCCAGCTGAGCACTTTGACAAGCTGCACTTGGGTACAGTGGGCCGCACCATCCCGGCTGCCCTGTGTGCAGCGTCTCAGGACCCCTTTGTACTCACGGACTTACTGGAGAGCCCAAAGGGCTTTTGTCTTCATGCGTTAGAGCCTGTGATATTTACCATAATAGGAATTAAAATTAGGAAAATGTTAAGATATTCATTAGTTGGTTTACAATAAGCCCATTCTGTATTAACATAAGTAACTTGTTTTTGAAAGATGTATCTTCAAACACAAAATAACATTTTGTGCAGGAGGGGCATTGTCACCTGTCTGCAAATATCTTTAAAGTCTAGCTTGATAGACAACGAGACTTTCCCATTGGCTTCTGCATTCAGTTGGTTATGATATATATTGTTTTGGTTGAAGTATGACAAAATCTGGCCTTACACAAATGAGTATTTAATAACTGTTCTGAGTAACTGTGAGTATTCTTTGATCAGGCAGTGGTCATGTCCTAACGGTTACTTGGAGTGTCACCATACTGGCTGCATGAAGTCCATGGGTCCATCCTGCACTCTGCATCCTCCATCCCAGCTTCCCTGCCTCCCATCCAGCTGGCTAATCCTGTTAGGAGCCATGCATCGGCTGCATTGCCATTGCTTCCAAATTGCTCACAGGCATACCTGGGAGGTGCCGGGATCCAGCTGTTCCCCATTTTTACCTTCTCAGCCCTCTGCCTTCCTCCAGGACCTCCTGCCCAAAGGGGGTGCTGTGTCCCCCTGAGGAGGTTGGGCTCCTCCACCTGTGCCCATAGGACTGTGCCCAGGGCACTTCTGTCCAGTGTGCAATCTTATTCCCCCACCTTTAAAAAACAAAGACACCAAGGAGGAGCCAAGATGGCGGCATGAGTAGTTCAGTGGAAATCTCCTCCCAAAAACGTATATATTTTTGAAAATGCAACAAATGCAACTATTCCTAAAAGAGAGACCAGTGGATACAGTACAACAGCCTGGCTATATCTACATCTGCGAGAACTCAGCATCACACAAAGCAGGTAAGATACAAGTTGCTGCCTAGCAGGACCCGAGCACCCCCGCACCCCAGCTCCTCGGCTGGAAGAAAGGAGTTGGAGCAGGGAGGGAGTGAAAGCCTAGGACTGCTAAACAACCAGCTCTAGTAATCCGCACCAGGAGCGCAGACACATGGTACATGGTATGCTGGATATTAGAGAAACAGAAGGGCAAAATCTGTGAGCAGGTCCCTACAACCAGCTCCCCTGGCACAAAAGAAAAGTGAGTGCTTTTCGAAAGTCTTAAAGGGACAGGGACCTCACAGCTGGACGGAATTGTCTCAGCACACTCAGCCCAGCAGCTGGGAATCCCGGGGAACTCCAGGCGACCTAATCCCCTAGGCGGCAGCACAGCTCTAAAGCCCCTTACGGTGATAAGCAGCCAGCCAGTTGATCCCCCGGCCGGCGCGGATCCCGACACACCAGTCAAATAGTGTGTGAGCTGGCAGTGGCTGTGGCCGAGTGAGCAGCCCAGGAGCAGCCCATGCGAGCTGGAGGTGGCAGCCAAGCAAGGGGCCTGGGAGCAACCCGTGCAGGACCGCAGCACCAGAGTGAGTGGCCCGTGTGAGCCCACAGTGGTGGTGGCCGAGTGGCCCAGGAGCAACTACACCCCCAGCAGCCACCCAGAATCTCCTCCCGGCACACAGCCACCCGGGCCAGACCCAAAGGCCACTGCCAGCACACAGCTGCCCAGCGGGGGTGCCACTCTTGCAGGAGAGCACACCCGGCACACCTGCCACTCCCCACAGGGCTCTGCCCTACCCTGATGGAGACCGAGCCCACAGCAGCTTAGGGGATTAATCCGGAGGCTGCTCCAGGAGTGCGGATGACCAACACAGGCAGCAGAGAAGGGCAAGGTGACCAGCAAACAGGAAATGACTTTGTTTTCCCAGCTGACACATGTGCTACCTGCCTATAGCTACCTCTATCACCATGAAAAGGCAGAAGAATTTGGTCCAGTCCAAAATTACCCAGACAACCCCCAAGAGAGGGCTTGGGGAGATAGATTTAACCAATCTCCCCAAAAAAAGAATTCAAAATAAAGGTCATAACCATGCTGATGGATCCGCAGAGAAATATGCAAGAGTTAAAGGATAAAGTTGGGAGGGAAAATACAGAAATAACAGTCTCTGGAAGGACTTAAGAGCAGACTGGATGAGGTGCAAGAGGCCATTGATGGAATAGAAACCAGAGAACAGGAACACAGAGAAGCTGATGCAGAGAGAGACAAAAGGATCTCCAGTAATGAAAGAATATTAAGAGAACTGTGTGACCAATCCAAACGGAAAAATATTCGCATTATAGGGGTACCAGAAGAAGAGAAAGAAAAAGGGATAGAAAGTGTCTTTGAAGAAATAATTGCTGAAAACTTCCCCAAACTGAGGGAGGAAATAGTCTCTCAGACCATGGAAGCCCACAGAACTCCCAACACAGGGGTCCCAAAGAGGACAACACCAAGACACTTAATAATTAAAATGGCAAAGATCAAAGACAAGGACAGAGTATTAAAGGCAGCCAGAGAGAGAAAAATGGTCAACTACAAAGGAAAACCCATTAGGCTATCATCAGACTTCTGAACAGAAACCTTACAGGCCAGAAGAGAATGGCATGATTTATTTAATGCAACAAAACAGAAGGCCCTTGAACCAAGAATACTGTATCCAGCATGATTATCATTTAAATATGAAGGAGGGATTAAACAATTCCCAGACAAGCAAAAGTTGAGGGAATTTGCCTCCCACAAACCACCTCTACAGGGTATTTTAGAGGGCCTGTTCTAGACGGGAGCACTCCTAAAACTAAACAGATGTCACCAGAGAAAATAAAATCACAGCAAAGAAAGCAGACCAACCAAATACTAACTAAAGGCAAAAAATAAAATCAACTACTCACAAAAGCAGTCAAAGGAAACACAAAAGCACACAGAATAAAACACCTAACATACAAAGAATGGAGGAGGAGGAATAAGAAGGGAGAGAAAAGAATCATCAGACTGTGCTTATAATAGCTTAATAAGTGAGTTAACTTACACGGTTAGATAGTAAAGAAGCTAACCTTGAACCTTTGGTAACCACGAATCTAAAGCCTGCAATGGCAATAAGTTCGTATCTCTCAAAATCACCCTAAATGTAAATGGACTGAATGCACCAATCAAAAGACACAGAGTAACAGAATGGATAAAAAAGCAAGACCCATCTATTTGCTGCTTGCAAGAGACTCACCTCAAACCCAAAGAAATACACAGACTTAAAGTCAAGGGATGGAAAAAGATATTTCATGCAAACAATAGGGAGAAAAAAAGCAAGTGTAGCAGTACTGGTTTCAGACCAAATAGACTTCAAAACAAAGAAAGTAACAAGAGATAAAGAAGGACATTACATAATAATAAAGGGGTCAGCCCAACAAGAGGATATAACCATTATAAATATATATGCACCCAATACAGGAGTACCAACATATGTGAAACAAATACTAACAGAATTAAAGGAGGAAATAGAATGCAATGTATTTGATCTAGGAGACTTTAACACATCAGTCACTCCAAAGGACAGATCCACCAGACAAAAAATTAGTAAGGACACAAAGGCACTGAACAACACACTAGAACAGATGGACTTAACAGACATCTACAGAACTCTACACCCAAAAGCAGCAGGATACACATTCTCCTCAAGTGCACATGGAACATTCTCCAGAATAGACCACACACTAGGCCACAAAAAGAGCCTCAGTAAATTCAAAAAGATCGAAATTCTACCAACCAGCTTTTCAGTCCACAAAGGCATAAAACTAGAAATAAATTGTACAAAGAAAACAAAAAGGCTCACAAACATATGGAGGCTTAACAACATGCTCCTAAATGATCAATGGATCAATGACCAAATTTAAACAGAGATCAAGCAATATATGGAGACTAATGACACAGCAACATAAAGACTCAACTTCTGTGGGATGCAGCGAAAGCAGTTCTAAGAGGAAAGTATATAGCAATCCAGGCCTATCTAAAGAAGGAAGAACATTTCCAAATGAATAGTCTAACATCACAATTATTGAAATTGGAAAAAGAAGAACAAATGAGGCCCAAAGTCAGCAAAAGGAGGGATGTAATAAAGATCCAAGAAGAAATAAATAAAACTGAGAACAATAAAACAATAGAAAAAAATCAATGAAACTAAGAGCTGGTTCTTTGAAAAATTAAACAAAATAGATAAGCCTCTAGCCAGACTTATTAAGAGAAAAAAAGAATCTACACACATCAACAGAATCAGAAATGAGAAAGGAAAAATCATGACAGACCCCACAAAAATACAAAAAATTATTAGAGAATACTACGAAAATCTATATGCTAACAAGCTGCGAAATCTAGAAGAAATGGACAACTTCCTAGAAAAATACAACCTTCCAAGACTGACCAAGGAAGAAACAGAAAATCTAAACAGACCAATTACCAGCAAAGAAATTGAATCGGTAATCAAAAAAACTACCCAAGAACAAAACTCCTGGGCCAGATGGATTCACGACTGAATTTTATCAGACATATAGAGAAGACATAATACCCATTCTCAAAGTTTTCCAAAAAATAGAAGAGGAGGGAATA